ATCGCAAACTAATGAAAATAGGTATATGACATTCTAAATAAAAGTTGAAGAGTTTGGTAAAATTTATCAGAAAAAATGATAATATATAGGGTGTACCATTTAAAAAAATTGAAATTCCTTAATTTTAAGTAGTTGAAATTCCTAAATATATTTTGAACACCCTGTAACATCTAACTGAAATATCTTTACATAGGTCTTTTTCTATATCTTTATAAAATACTCCTACCAAATTTTATTTGGTAGGAGATTTTTACAAAATCTAAAAATAAAATAAAAAATAGGGTGTGACGTTTAAAAAAACATATGTTATATTCGCCGCACTTTTTTGAAGCACCCTGTATACTGTATAATAATTTTAAAATGTGTATCTTTACCATCTTCATAACTTTTATATTTAATATTTTTTTGTAAACCTCGAAACAAATGAGATAATGGACTTTACTCTATCGTTGACTCACCCTGTACAACAAGATGTTCTGTATAAAGAAATAAGAGCACAGTATGTATTCTTTAAACTGTGATAAGAGCTTTTGCTTTTATAGTATTTTTCCAAGCGCATGAAATCTAGCACCGGATTAAGTGGTTATGTAATAAACATTTCGCATTTTTCTCTCTCTAGCTTAGAAGATTACCACAGCGATTCATTCCTAGACAATATAAATACCGATCCAAGACTTCTTCTCGTGCCGATATGGCATGTGGTTGTTGTAAATAACCATAAAATGACATGTAAATGATTTTTCTGACAATTACACCGACCAATTATCACTTTTGGCCCATTTTTCCGAATACCACGGTTCACAATCGTAGCTTTTTAACGCCACAACGGCACAACAACGGTCCAAAACACCAACTACGACCGGTACGGTGCCTCCTTAAAGCCGATATCTCCGAAGCTCCGGTTCTGAATCGCCTATCGCGCTTTAAAAGCCGGAGGTGGATATTCCGGCGCGCATAGGCGGGGACGGGGGGCAGGGACATGGGCGGAGGTGTGGGGGGGCCGGGGAGAGCGACGGCGGTTGAGGAGACCGTGGCCACGCGTTCACGAATTCGGAAATATCTCTCGTGAAAAAGAACGAAAGAAAACGGACTAAAATTACTACTGCCACTGCCTATTAAGTTTTAGTTTCTTTGGATTTCGATTTATCGTTTTTTTTTAATTTTACGTGTTGATTTCAGGACTGTAGATGGTAATAGAAAAGTTAATCACCACACTGAAAAAAAGGATCTCTCAGTCGAAATGAATATGACTTTGACCCAAAAGATTGGCGCTTTTCAATAGGGCCACGAACGACGTTTCTTTGCCCAAAGCGTTATCTATCTTTTCGTAAGCTTTAAAAAATTACTTTAAGAGAATAGAAGAATCTATCTGTCCAAAGTATTTCACTCTTGACCCAAAGAAGTTATTGCTACAAGAACAATAGTCTCTTTGATTCATGCAAAAGTTCTTGATTGAAAAGGGACATTTCTTGATTAAAGAGACACTTTTCTTAAACCAATAGCGAATACTATTGACTCAACTACTAGATGGAAAAGAAATACTGCCAACACAGGAAGTTAAATACCTGGGAATAACCCTGGACAGTAAACTCCTGTGGAACAGGCATATTAAGAACACTACCAGCAAAGCCATAAAGGCTCTCATGATATGCAGAAGACTGGCCGGAAATAGATGGGGCTGCTCCCCTAACATTTTGCGCTGGATGTATACCATGATAGTAAGACCCATGATTACTTATGGAGCAGTTGCCTGGTACACAAAACTAGAGCAACGGACGGCAAGGCTAAACCTATGCAAAGTCCAGAGACTAGCATGTGTTTGCATCACAGGAGCCATGAGAACCTGTCCAACAGCAGCAATGGAGGTCATTCTAGATCTAACACCACTGCACATTGTCATTGGTAGATATGCCAATGCGACAATGATTAGAATGGTCACTAACGGAATTAGTACTGGGAGAATTGTCAGATCAGGGGCTTGGAACACCCTCAAAAAGGAAATACCACTCCTGCAACTCCCAGTGGACGATATGCCAAGAAAGTACAACTTTGACAAACATGTCAATGTAGTATTGGGCAATAAGGATTGGAAGAGCGAAACGCTTGCCCAGCAGTTAAAAGACCATACCATAACTTGGTATACTGATGCTTCCAAAACCAATACGGGAACAGGGATCGGAGTGTTTGGGCCGAGAGCTAATTACTCCGAACCAATGGGCACTTACCCTAGTATCCTACAGGCAGAAATCTACGCTATCGAGAGATGCGTACAACTTATCTTAGATAGGAACTATCGGAAACAAGAAATAGCCATCTTATCTGATAGTCAAGCAGCGTTAAAGGCGATCAACTCAGTATCAATCAATTCGAAATTGGTCAAAGAATGCATAGAGAAGCTGAATACATTAGGCAAAGAAAACAAAGTCCTCATACACTGGGTGCCTGCTCACCAAGGGATAGAAGGCAATGAAAAAGCAAATAATCTAGCTAGGAAAGGAGCGAACACTCCACTAACTGGACCAGAACCGTTCTGCTTTCCAAGTGGTAACCAACTCAAGGCGGAACTCAAGAACTTGGAAGATTCCATCTTGCAATGGTCTAAGACACTCGAAGAAGTTTCTGAGGGCTTATGATCAAGAAAAATCACAGATCTTCCTGGGTCTGAGTAAGAACAATCTTCGGATTGTCACGGGGTTTTTAACAGGACACTGTCTCCTCAATGAACACCTCGGTAGATTGAAACTAAGAAGAAACGGCGAATGCAGATTCTGTGGGGAAGATGGGGAAACACCAGTACACCTCATCACTGAGTGCGCCGAGACGACAACCATTCGTGCCATGAATTTTGGTACGACTGATATTGGAGATGGAGAACTACCCTCTATAAAACCGTCCCAGATACTGGCTTTTGTCAAAGCCCTGGGACTGTATGATGAGTTATGATTCAAGAAAGGGGGACACAATGGATCTGTAAGGTCGAAGTGATTAACCCCCCTCCCACTCATTCAAAATTCTAAATTCTAAAAATTGACTCAACTAAAATTTATTTTGATATACCTATATTCTTATTCTATCTATAGTCACGCATGCATTATCTAAACAGGTGCATTAGGTAAATGTCTCTTATCTTCAAATATAGCAAATAAATGCTCTAATTTCCATTTTTCAGAAACTCCTTGAAAGAATCCATATATCCTAAAATTTGTCCATAAAAAATGACAAATGCATGTTAATAACGATCACTAATTTGTTATACGATATGCGTTTAAAAAGCAAATTATGCAAAATTCCAAGTGAAAAATTCCAAGCAACAAAACCCGTGCGTACTATGATGTACGACTACGACTGATCGGACTGCCGACTGATTGTATATACCGTCCTTCGTCATCGTCTTTGCGTGTCGTTATTATTTTTCATCAAAAGAGTATTTAGCTATTGGAAAAATGACCGTGTTTCTTGAATGAAGTACTTCCTAGCGTATTTTTCTTATTATCATAAAACAAAGTAACTTGCACTTGGTTGAATGAAAATAGATTCAAGAGAAATTTTCGAACTTTTAAGAAAACCAGTTTTCTTGAGTTAAGAGAGTTTTTCTTCAGGCAAAATATTTTCTTTTACTTTCTTTCAAGTCTATCTTTTTTATCCGTGCATTACCTTATTAATCTTAGTCCTTTTTTGGAAAGGATGTAAAAGTTATTTCCAAAAATGTGTTTGTAGTTTGTTCAAATCAACGAATCGTAGGAATCGATTCATTAAGAGAAATTGAATCGCGTGATTCCGTTCACTAAAAAGAATCGTAATGCCAATCACAAATAGCAATATCAACCATCCAAAGAAAGGTCAGTCTCTACATTGAGAAGACGAATACTTTAAGACAACCACTAAGAGCACCCAAACTAAATCCTGCGCACAGAGTGTACCGGCTGCAATTTGCTCAAGAACACGGATCATAGCCCGAAAAATTTTGGAATTGGGTATTTTTCTTGAGACGAAACTAGAATATGTTCGGTGAATATTTCGGCTAAAGTAATACTAAATTTCGGCTGTAGGTTCTCCGACTTATAATTTGGCAAAATGGTTATCAATGGAGTTCGAAATTTACCTAATCATGAACCCTCTTTCTCAGTTAAAAATAATATTGAATTTATTAACAAAATTAAAAATATAACATTGCATGAAGGTGAAATTTTGGTCTCCTTTGATGTATCTTCATTGTTCCCAAGTGTTCCAATTCCACATACTTTAGGCTACTTGAAGGAATTACTGAACGCAAATGGTCTCGACAACAAAACTGTGAGTGAATATATTGAGCTTACATCGTTATGTATGAAACAAAATTGTTTTCAATTTAATAACAACTTTTTTGAACAGCGGGAAGGTACAGCAATGGGTAATCCACTGTCTCCATTTTTGGATAATTTATTCATGAGCAGGTTTGAAGTGGAGGCTAAGAATGAGTTTGAGTATTTTTCAAAAGTATGGTTTAGGTATGTGGATGATACTTTTGCTGTTTTTCACACACATTCAGACACATAGATAATTTTATTTCTAAGTTAAATAATCGTTTTCCTTCCATTAAATTTACACATGAAATTGAGAACGACAGATTACCATTTCTAGATGTATTAGTTATTAGAAATACTAACAATTGCTTGGAATTTGATATCTACAGGAAAAATACCACTACACGCAGATATATTCCTAATGGATCTTATAGTGTTGAACATAAAATTCAAATTGTGTAGTCCTTTTTCTTCAGTTATAGCTCTTCATACAGTCTCAAAGACAGTTTTACAGAGGTTGGTTCTCCATCTTCGATACCAGTCGTACCAAAGTTTATGGGATGAATGGCTGATGTCTCGGTGCACTTAGTGATAAGGTGTTCCGGTGTCCCAAAGGAGACAAAAACCCCCTGACCATCCGAAGATTGTTCTCTTTGATTGTTCCAGATTGTTCTTACTATGACGCAACTTTATCCATTATTGACTGTTATTGAGACAACAGAAGTCTGTAACTGTCAAATTAATCCTGTCAAACGTTCCCATTTTTCAAAATTTCCCGTCAAATGAACATAAATTTAATTTCCCGGGTTTATTATGAATAGTACAGACTATATTTTCAAGTACCCGAACTTCTTGGACGACGAATCGGTACACTATCGAAGCAAGGAGTACATTTCCAAGGTTTGCAGGGACATAATCGAGGACATTTTGAAGCAGACCTACGACGAAGAGAACCCGCTGGGTTCTGCACCGTTGAAGTGCAGCAAGGCCTGTCAAACTGATAAAACTCCTTCAGTGAGATACAATTACAACCTAACTGTGAGACAGCAGATTTTCGAGAAGTTTATAGTAAGATATTCATTTTTTTTAACTTATTTTTTTAATTATAAAAAGAGCGAGGGCCAGGTACGTCGGTTCCCGATAAATCACCGAAGTTAAGCGACATTAGAGGAGGCGAGTGGATGGAAAGGTGACCGTCTGCATTGTAGATTGTATGGGATTCTCCCCTTCTAGGTTATAACTCATCGTACAGCCCCACACTGAAAAAATGAATTTGTGAATTTACTAACAATATTGCGGCACTCCCCTGAATCCATACAAATTGCAAAACTATGGATTCAGGGGAGTGCCGCTCGAATGGCTTAAGTCGTATCTTGGCAACAGAAGGCAGCTTGTGAGGATTGATACGTCTATGTCTTCTTGTAAGCCTATAGAATGTGGTGTCCCTCAGGGTTCAGTACTTGGCCCTATTTTATTTCTGGTGTTTATCAACGACATGGCAAATCTAGACATTAGCAATAAAATCTGCCTCTTTGCGGACGATACTAGTGTCACTTGGAGCACACCATTAAATCTTGGTGCGATTCTAATCTCCTATGCCTCAACCTTCAAAAACTAAAGTTTTGTCATATAAAAGTACTATACAACCTTTTGTACTTAATAACACCACTATTGACGTCGTGGACTCTGTGAGATTCTTAGGACTTGTTGTGGACAACTCTTTAAAATGGGACTTGCACATCGAAGCCTTATCAAAGAAACTAAGCTCTGCCTGTTTTGCGCTAAGATCAGTGTCTAAGGAACTTAACTCATCAACCTCTAGAATGGTCTATTATGCCCTTTTTGAGTCGCATCTTCGTTATGCCCTTCCATTCTGGGGTACTTGCTGCGCGACAAAATTTGATCGTATTTTCAAACTTCAAAAGAGAGCAGTTCGATACTTATTGGGACTAAACAGTAGAACTCACTGCCAGAATTTCTTTAAAAATTTCAAAATACTGACTCTTCCTTCCTTATTCATTTTTGAATCCGTTTGCTTAATCCGCAAGCACATATTCTCTATTCCGGAAAGGCCTTCTCACAACTATCCACTTAGGAATGCGGAGCACGATATTTATCTGCCAACCCCGAGCTCAGAACTAGTTAAGGGCTCAATACTGTACAATGCCAAGAAAATGTACAATCATTTGCCTTCGAATATCAAGTCACTTTCATTCTTTCCCGCATTTCGCAAAGCTCTGAAATCATACTTACTGGAGAGAGCCCTATATGCGGTAAACGACTTTTTTGTTGATGTTTAATCATGAACAATTTAGAATTTTAATTTTAATATTTTTTAAAACTCTTGATTTTATGTTATTATAACATGATTTTATCCATTTACAGTTTTCCTTTTGTAAATTTTTTTAGATACGCCTGTGTTCTGCAATGTCCATGTATGTTTTATTTGTAATTTTATGACGTAAATTTTTTTTGAATTGATTTGTATTGTATGACATTTTTTGTATTATTTGTATATTTGTTTTTGCGCTTTTTTTGTTTTGCTTTGTCGATGAAGCTGTTTTGGCTTTTTGTACAATAAGCGTTGTTTTTTTTTATTGATTGTTATTTCTTGCCACAGATTATTGTAGTAAATTTACCATTCGTTCTTTAGTTTTTCAACTTGTTTGTAAAATCGCGGTATGGCTAATTTGTGGCATGTATGTAAAAATATGTTATAATATATCTTTATTTTCACCAATTTTCTTTGCGAATTAATGTAAAAAATATCTATATCATAGTAAATTTACTTATTCATTGTAAATTTATCTTTTAAAATCGCCAACTCCCTTGTACTATTGATATCCCTATAACATAGGATACAACATTTTAATGAAAAGTTCTGTGCATAAAATCAATAAAATGAAAAATATACGAAATAATATACATGTACTGATTTTTTTCGAAAATCGACAACTATGAAACTATTAACCCTTCCCGGACACAAACGGTACATTGTGAGACAGGAAATTGTAGAGAGAAACAAGCCCTATAACATAGGATACAACATTTTAATGAACAGTGCTTTCCATAAAATCAATAAAATGAGAAATATACGAAATAATATACATGTACTGATTTCTTTCGAAAATCGACAACTATGAAACTATGAACCCTTCCCGGACACAAACGGTACATTGTGAGACAGGAAATTATAGAGAGAAACAAGCCCTATAACATAGGGTACAACATTTTAATAAACAGTGCTTTCCATAAAATCAATAAAATGAAAAATATACGAAATAATATACATGTACTGATTTTTTTCGAAAATCGACAACTATGAAACTATGGACCCTTCCCGGACACAAACGGTACATTGTGAGACAGGAAATTGTAGAGAGAAACAAGCCCTATAACATAGGATACGACATTTTAATGAACAGTGCTTTCCATAAAATCAAAAAATGAAATATATACCATCGTCTAGATGGTTACTGAGTTGATCGCTTTTAATGAAATAATTATTCCTTGTTTCCGACAGTTCCTATCCAAAATACTTTGTACGCATCTTTCGATAACACAAATTTCAGCCTGAAGGAATGTTGGGGAAACGTTTCTCTCTTCAAATCCTTTTTAAACATCCTGTATACCAATAGTACTAGAAATTTCAATTCTTAATTTCTACTTCTTGTTCTCAATCCAAAAATATTGTTTCTTGTGTTTGCATTTTTAAGAGCCTTGTAGCTAAACTTTGTAAGTTTCCCGTTATAACACTCATCATCTCTGCTGCCTCTTTCTATAATTTAAACCCAGAGACCAAAACTATGTAAAGTATGCCCGCAGGGTGATTAATTTTGCGAAATGATCATAATTTTGTATAGAAAAAGTAGGTTAAAATACTTAATACCGATGAAAAGTGCTTTGATTCACAGATATTCACAGAAATATATTGATGTTGAATTCTATACAGGCCTACCTACTAATTTTTTCCTCCTTATTTAGAGACAAAATAATTAGAAGGCTTAAAATGGTGGAGACCCAAAGAATCAAGCCAAAAATTGTGAAAATCAATGAAGAAAGTGCTGATGTTGATGCTGATATTGAGGATATGGAGGAAAATACGTTTGAAATTGTTGAATACGATCAAGATGACGCAATAGTACATTCAGATATTGTTGAAGAACCACCTGAGGCACTCAGCGAGGTACTTACTCTATTCTACAGGGCGGGCAAATGTTCTAAACAGCTTCATTTTTATAAAATATGCAGAAAAAAAATATGTTATATTTTTTTCCCGAATTTTTTTAAATTACATAATTTTCAGAGATCCAAACTGGAAGACATCCTAGAAAATATGTCCACTACCATCAACGTAACTGTAGTTGAATTGGTCAAGTCTAGGTTTGAAACCGAGGAACCTATTGATAGGAGTCAAAACCAAAGTTGTTCACTGAGTGATTATAACGGAGAAAATAATCGAGAAATTGACTTGAATGAATTGCTGACCAATATAGAGAAACTAGTTCGTGTAAACAACAAATTGGTGTGGATGTTGAAAATTGTCTTGTTCGTATTTTGCTTGAATGCTGCGGTTTTGGTAAAATCTACATTGTTTTAATTTTACGGATGATTCGTTGGTGAAAAAATAATAATCACACTGTATTTGATCATACTATGTTTTTTTTCTTGAAATAAAAAATCGGTAAAAAAACTTTTAAGTCAAACGGTTTTATCTTATGTGCACTGAAAACTAGAAAATAATAATAACAATTAGGTATTTTGAACTTCTAGTTCAGAAATATTTTAGTACTAGGCAGAATAGCTTTTAGGCATATTAGACTAAAATAAAAACGTGGGGCCCCTCTGAAATCCTACCTATGGCAAAGCATATCTTTATACTTTGGTAGATCATGAGCTCGGCGTTCGCTGGTGAAGCCGCCACGGCTGGTTATTGGTTGTCAAAATCTCCAGTTACGATTATAGTAAGTCGATGCAATCCACACTTAGTATAGAAGAAAATATTACAGCAATAGTTAATGGGCCCCACGTTTTTATTTTAGTCTAATATGCCTAAAAGCTATTCTGCCTAGTACTAAAATATTTCTGAACTAGAAGTTCAAAATACCTAATTGTTATTATTATTTTCTAGTTTTCAGTGCACATAAGATAAAACCGTTTAACTTAAAAGTTTTTTACCGATTTTTTATTTTCTAGTTTTTAGTATTTAACGGAAATGCCTACCGAATATTCCTCATTCTATTTAATTTATTTAGTGCATCATTATTACATGGTTTTTTACCTGATAATTTATTACAATCTAATTCCTCAATACATAGCCCTTCCAGAGACTTGACTCGACTTAGAGCCACGTAGGCTTGCCCTTCCTCAAACAATTTTGAGCCCAAATACACTACTGCATGGTCGACTGTGCTGCCCTGCATTTTATGGACGGTGGATGCCAATGACAAAATTAAGGGTAACATCCTTCTTTCAGCCGTACCATAATTGAATTTTGCTGGAAACTGTATGGCTTTCGGGTGTATAACGTGTATGCCGTCTCTGCCAAAGTCAATCCAAACTGATGGTACATCTGTTTCGTACATTTGGGTTCGACGGAACTGAGGCCAAACAATTTCTGTAATGTGGCCTATAGTACCATTTACCAATCCTTTTGTAACGTCAATGTTGGATCGCAACATTACTTTTGCTCCTACAAATATTTCAAGTACTGATGGTAAGCCTCCAGTCTTATTTATATCTGTTGGTATTATATTTGCTACATTTAAATTATCTGTGTTTCGTGTGGCGTCAATTAGTTGGTCCTGTGCTTTAATGGTATACATTCGAGATCCCTTATTCCGGAACAGATTTAAAACAGCAGCGTTGTGATTGTTTACTTGCTGATTAGTGGGGTATACCCTTAACGCTTTGTCTGTTGCAAACTCATCACTTGGGTTTTGAAGTTCCCACGAGTAATGGACATTTTAACGGTCGACCCCCCCCCCCCCCAGAGGTCCAGTAGAGGGGCAAGGCTATAATATACAACAAGAGGCGCCCAATCTTGAGGGAAAAACGCTTGCGACATTACATTTTTAGCCACCCTAATGCCATACAGTCCTCAGCACGTTTTAACCTATTACCTTAACTTAGGTGGTAAAGCTACCGCTAACTACGTAGATACATCTAATCACCTATTTTTTTTTATCTGTCCTTCTAACGTCACACAATCTTGGACACAACTGTTCTGGACACGACTACTCATGCCCTCACCTAATACGCCATTTTGTAACGACGTCCATCTTGGATTTTAAATTTTGTCATAATCACAGTATTCTACTAGTGTAGCCCTTTCATTTGATACCCATATTGAGGGGGTTGTGGATTTACAATGTTATTGATATTACTATATTGTATTGTCATCGGAACTAAAGGTGTGTACCAAATTTCAGATCAATCTGACAACAGGAAGGTACTTAAATTTCAATTTCTAATTTTGACCCAAATAAACAAAAAAATAAATCAATACCGTACGGGTCGAGCTAAATAAAACCGTTTAAAAAAGCAACATTTTTGAAAGCTTCTTCATGAAAAAGAAATAAAACCATCTATTTTAACCAGTGTTTTCTGTTTTGTCTTTTTTTTCGCCATAATTTTGCTTGTATATGTTGCGTCAAAACAAATCAATGTATAGTTAGTATAGAATGTTCAGCTATATTGTCGAACTCTCTCAATCACTTGCCAACCAGATGAAAGAGATTGGTGACGTCATTATGGCATTTCGTAAATTACTGCGTATTCTTTTTTGTAACTGTCATTGTCATTTGATTTGAGGTTATAATTTTATTGACGTACATCGATCAATGTCAAAATTAAAATTTGACTGTTGCTGTAAAATAAAATTCAAATTTTTAATGCAAAAATGCCTCAAAGATTTAACGAAAATGAACAAAGGCTCATTGCTAAGCTTATAAATGATTTTTCTCCAGAAAGAGACCCTAAAACTCGTATTTGACAAATAATGATGACGTAACGATGAACGATGGCTGAACAGTCTATACATTTTTATACCATACGATCGAAAAAAAAACGACGTTAGAGATGCCTTCGAAATAAAGATCGCTGACAATTCGTACGTAAAATTATATCGTCACCAGAATGCAAGAAATGGAGGAAATTCTCATGTTTTAAGTTACCTACTCGAAATTATGTAAAAGAGTGCCTATATATAGAATTTAGTGCCCAAATTGGCTATCATATCATTTTTTGTATACAGTAACTGTAAATGATATAACCACACGAAAATTCGGTGTGGTATATTTCTTACATTCAGGTGACGATAATAGAGATCGTCATCGATAGTCGCTTCTGAAGTCTGAAGAAGATTCTTTGTATTAAGACATTGACAAAGAGCTATATGGAGGGTTCACTCTCCAAGTTGCTAGACTTTCCGGAAAGGATAAGACTGCAGAATGTAACCCAAGGATCAAAAGAAGACACTGCCACAGATCTGAAAACCAATAGCAACCTCAAAGATTTATCTATCTACTGTGTCTCTATTGTATAAGAAAATAAAAACAGGAGTAGTTTGACAGGATTTTTTTTTGCTTCAAAATAAAAAAAATGTCTAGTCTACTATACCTTTGAACCAATTAAAATCGTATTTCGAGCTTCCTGATTTGAAAGAATTAATCAAAATAAGTTCAAATAGAGCTAAAAACGTATTCAAACACATTTCTCTCCAGAGAATTTACATTTTTATTTCATTTCTACACTTCAGCAATGCATGTAATTAAATAATATTATTTTTCTTTAAAATCTGTGGTTTCAGGTTCTAAAAACCATGCCTGAACGACTGATATGCTTTTCCACGAATACGTTTGAATTGGAAAACGTGACCAGTGAGTTTTATGCAACTAAAACCAAACCGACGTACAGTGTAACGAAAACTAAAATAGTGGGACATTGGCATTTCTCTTCAGTTATCACTATTCTTGCTGACATTTTTTGACAGAAATTAAATAATACGACTAGGAATTTTTGCCACAGGGCGAAAAGAGTAAAAAAAGGCGTAATGAAAGGTCCAAAAATATACGAAGTTTTATAAAAGGACTTTACAGGTATATTTTTTTATTGGGACTCTTATGGACCAAAAACGTTATCAAATTACTGTCGAACAATCATTTATCTCCCGCTAATATGTCAAAACTCAATCAACATTCCTAAATATTCAAATAATCAGGGATAAATTAGATAACACTGCAAAACTCAAAGAACAAATATCATTTAACAGTATTAAATAATATGATAATATGCGAAAAAAACGCATTCAACTTCAACAAGCAAGCGTATAGCTTTTTCAATAAAGAAATTACGGATAAAAACTAGGGTCGAATCAATGGAAAACGTAATTATTGCCGAAGAAATTTATTTTTTTCTTCCAGGTTCGGATCTAGGTGGATGAAATTTTTATGTGACAGTATACTAGAAGGTTCACTCTATGATAACCTTGCGCGAATGTAGGCGTTTTTTTGAAAGTCATAATAAACATGTAGAAACTAGACTTGAAAAAATTTGGGACATTTTTTTCAGGTTTGTTGTAAAAGACCTCTCTTTACGCAAAAAAATTGTTGGAATTGAACAACACAAGGAAACTTCTGAAAATAATAAATTTCATTGTATGAAATTTTTGTACAGATTTGGTAAATTAAGGAAACCATAACTTCAACCCGCCATAACTCCCCGACTAAGAGGTCAACTCAAGAAATATCTCACATGGTGGGGCTCTGGGATGTCCTTTATCCATCTATATAAAAAACTTGATTAATTAAATTTTTTGTTTTTTGGGCAAATGTCCCGCATTTCCCGATTTCGTTACACTGTGCGACGTCAGTTTGTTCTACATGAACTTATTTGCAGTACACACACACATACACACTCAGAAACATACAATATATAGCTCGTCCAGCCAGAAATTATACCCTACCACGTAGTCGAGAAAAAAAAATGCGTCATAGTAACCTTTGAAATTATATTTTTTTATAAATTCTTTCGAGTCAACCCCCAAATGTCATTTGGGTATTAAAACGCCGTCAGAGACTGACAATCGCTGGTTATTTCGCAGAGGTCAAGCACTAAACCAATTAATTTTGTTAAAATTCGAAAAGAAATATTTTTTTCTAGAAATATAGATTTGTGTGTCTATCTTTCTTTTAAAGTTTTATGTCAATTTTTAGTAGATGACGTCTAGAGATTGACCTCACCTTATCATCGATTGTCGTGCATCGTCATTTCAAAGACTACCGTGACACCTTTTTTTTTCGACCAAAAAGTAAGTAGGTACTTCAAAACATTCAAATAACGAAATAAAACGAATATTTTGATGGGTTCTCTCAAATATATTCAAAATAGGTAGGTATAAGTCTATTAAAATTTTAAATTCTGCTACTAGGTGTAATAACTGTCTCCAAGCGTTTTATTTTCTGATTCGTCTTTTGCAAAGTTAAATTTATATCCACGTTCGTTCCGCCACCATATGGCATGTGGATACTAGATATCGCACGGACTTTTATTATGGCAATTATAGTTATCAGTTACTGCTGCTAGCTGCTAAAGCCTCTTTAGAGATATAAAAAAAAACTGTTAAATCTCCCACGGAGCTCAAACGTTAAAAATACGTTCAAATGCCAATGTGTGTTGTTGTTCCTTTATTTTTATTCATAATATCTTATTCAAGCTGGTTAAAATGAATGAGGAATCTATTATTCAGTGTAGGAACAAATTGATTTTATTTTTTTTTCCAAAATATAGTGAAAGTAAGATTAGAATAGAATATATTTTTGTAGGCTGCAAAAAAAAGTGTTCTAGGTCTATGAATAGCGCTGATGGGCCTTGTTTGGCTATTTCATCTGCCCTTTTGTTACCCTTGTGACTTGTGACGTTTCTGGCAAGTTTTTGGACAATCATAACTACCCTAAATAGAATCGCAAAAAAATATCAGTTGGCATTGTCACCTCAGTAGATATTAATTATCTTTACAAATAAATTATTTAATATATCTAATACTTGTGTCATTTCCTTGAAAAAAATTATACAAAATTTTTTAAGTAAACATCTGAAAGGCTAGATTATTTTTTCTTCCTTGATAATGCAATACATTTTTGAGAATAAATACCTAGTAAAAGCATCATTCGATTTCTTTATCTGTCAATGTCAATTATTATATTGTTACTGATTGAATTTTAGATATATCAATAGCTTAAAACCTTTGAATAAGAAGACTAAGGAAGGAGCATATCAAAAATCTTAGGTACACCGCGATGGGCCTCAAATATGGCCGACTTAAATTCCGGTTTATCAGTGTCGTTCTAATTTTATTTAAAAAATGTAAAACTATGATGTAGGGTAGACGTGGGGTAGACTCAATAATTTGTTGTTTTATTTTACGTTGTGAATAAATGTTGGTAGTTATTAAAATTGTTATAAAAATATATAATTCTAATAAAAATAGATAAGTTATAATAAGTATTTATTAACACAAACATCCGATACGCTACTGAAGCAGGTAAGTCAAATTAACGTATCTAAATTCTTTGACATCTAATCTTTGACAAGTAATAAATAAAAGCTAAAATGCAAGAAAAATATATAATTTAGTTAATTTAAGTGAATTTCATAAATGATCGGTTTACTACACGTATGTATATTATATAGTCACTTACTAGCGAAAAGTTGTTCAATTATTTCACTCAATTTTTGCCGAGATCTACCGCACGCTACACAACCAACTATTTTAGAGTCTTTTTCGATAAATCGCGATAGTGTCACTGTTAATTTAAGTTCTGCCACAATTTCCATCTAGATTTACTACCTTTATACAACTATCAGTAGTAGAATAAATAATAAATAACATAAAATAAGCTCCGTAAAGACTGACAAATCCACAAAATTTCAAATCAAATTCAAATGTGTCAAATGAATCGTCAAACAGAACTGTCAAGGATCCCCACCCTAGAGAGCTTTTATGGTGGCTTTTCCGCCCACCATGCATGAATACATGGATATCATTATGCTCCTTCCTTAGTCTTCTTATTCAAAGCTTAAAACAAAAAACGCTATCCTGGACATACCTACTAAAACAAAAATATCACAGGTTTTACTATTAACAGCTGCAAAATATGAGTTTATTTTTACTCTAATCGCTGACAGTGGACATAATTTTTCTAGTTTCAGTAAATTTACAGTGAAAATATCTCTAAATGTCCCGATAAAAATAGATCTTTTAGAAAACTTAGAAAAATAACGTCATCGCATTAATGATGACGCCCAGTACGTACCTAAAATGATCGAAACGTCGTTAAAGTCAAATAAACATAATGCAAATTCAAGAAAATGTTTCAAATCACCATAAAGATATTTCGATGTGCTATTTCTTGCTGAATAGTACAATTTTGTGGAGTGAATTCGAAACTCGTCAATAATTTGCTTTGTTTTCAATATTTAACGGTGAAAACTTGCTGCAGCACTTTCAGTTATTTAATATTAATTGTTTGTTACAGTCCTTTAATAATAAACATGACTTTGTAAACAAAATGGCGATTTTGGCATGCCTACACCACCTAATTTTGAAATACTTACATTTTAAGGAATATTTTCTACGAATTCAGGTGGTTTTGATGCAAAAAGCTCGGGTTTTAAGAAAATAAATTGGTTTGTAAGATATTTCACATGAAAAATTATGATTATAGACACTAATAAGTATTTCCGGGGTAAAAAGCTAATAGGAAACACTATTACTAAGTGTTTAAATGAAAAATAATGGTTGCAAAGTAGGAGGAATGAAAATTACTTACATTTTAACTTATTTTCGGTAAAAATAAAGGAAAATTCCAATAATTCTTTAATTCAAACTCAAAATACTGTAGTTTGAAGTTTTTCCATTAATTCAATTGTTTTTTAATGTTAAATATGGCAGTTAAAAAGAAGATTCCTTTTCAAAAACGGTTTGCAACTATTTTATGATGAAAGCATTGAATTATATTTATTTTTTAATTATTTTCGGTAAAAAGCAAGGAAAATACTTGTAATTCTTCAGTTTATGCCCACCATAACACAATTTTAAGGATTTTGTTCTAGTTCAAGTGTTTTTTATTGCAAAATATGGGCATTAAAAAGAAGATATCTATACAACTAGGTATATGATGATAAAAGTGTTGAAATATACTTACATTTTTACTTATTTCCGGTAAACAGCGTTGAAATTCCAATAATCCTTTACTCCTGACACGGAACAGCGTATTTTTCTTCAAACCAAACGAAAAACAGTCGTTATAAAATAAAAATACAACTCACAACCACAGATAAAACGGTCACATCTTCCACGCCAACCGAGCGAACTTTCTCAGCTTTTCCTGGTCCTTGTCCGGAGTATTTTCGCTTGCCTTTACAACAAAAAACGCGGATTTTCGCGACGGACGAAACTTTTTAGTTAGACACGTTGAAATTGACTGAAAAACACACAAAAACACCGAAAGTTACATGATTAAATGCGATGGCATGGCGCGCGTTTTCCTGAGACTGAATCGCAGAGGAGGGCATTTCGTTGAAATTGGACGCGATCGGGGGAGATCGGGGAGCTTTCGGCGGAGTTCGGCACCGCATTCTTCGGCAAGGGGAAAGGATTAGGGAGGGGCGCTAGGGCGGGTAAAAAGTTGGATCAAAGTGGGGAAATTAACAGAAAAAAAAGTCGGGGAAAAAGTTGTCGGTGCGTGTTGTGAAGTAATTGTTGATCATTGTCGGTCGTAGATAGTATAGCCGTGGGTTTTGTTATTTGAAAGCTCCATAAAACAAATAATGATAGTAGAGGAAATGCGCGATTTTTTGCACTAGAAAGATAGGCAAGCAGGCAAGCACCATTAAAAGCGATCAATTCAGTAACCATCATTTCAAAGTTGGTCAAAGAATGGCTATAGAGAAGCTGAACGAATTAGGCAAAGAAAATAAAGTCTTCCTACTATGGGTTCTAGCCCACCAAGACCAAGGGCCTAAATTATTGAATTTACCTTATGGAGCAATGACACAACAATGCAGACACAAAAGAGACACATAATTAAAAGAAATGTCAAATTTCAATGGCTTCCTTGATGTTTTTACTTAATTCTGTTGTGTTATTGTTTATTTTGGCCGCTCAAATCGATTGGAATCCAGTGGCGTGCGTAGAGATATTCTAAAAGCTCTGACAAAAAATGTTTAAAAGAATATTTCAAACAGAAAATGCTAGACTTTTTTATATAGAGGGTGGTTTTAATTGTGTTCGGGAAACTTTGGCAGCATGTTATGCAGATAAAAATAAGAAAAAAGTTCATATAAATATGTCCTAAAATGCTTCCTTTCGGAGATACAGGGTGTGGAATTTCATTTTTATTTTGGGGTTTTTCAAATAAGTTTTGAACCATAGACTATATTTGGTTGAAAATTGGTATCTGGTTGTTTTTTGACATGAGAAATTTTATTTCGATGTTAATATGACTCCTAATTGTAGAGGGCGCCACCTACAGGTATTTTAACCTTTTGAAGAGTAATAACTTTTCGTCCTAACCTGTTATTACACTACCGAAACAAAAATATACATTTTCACTCTTTTTTACATAAAAAATATCTCGCTATTGGTAAATAGCGCTACGAGCAATCAGTCTCGAGATATATGGAATCGAAACATGGGCGCCGGAAGAATGAAATTTAGGGGGGGGGGGGCAAGGTAAAAATGAATAAAAAATTGACATTTTTGGTAATTATTGGGAAAACTGGAAATCGTCCGATTTTCACCAAAATTGGTATACACCCTATTTTGAAGTCGTAGATTACGTATCTGAACTTTTTTCTTGGCGGTCTCTTACCGTTTTTCAGAAAAACGGAAAATAATTTCAATATCGAATTTTTCTTAATTTCTCATATTTTTAAGGTTTTCTAGCACATATTTTATTAGGTATTCAATAATCAATAATGTTTTTGCTATTTTCTGTTACTTTTTTAACCAATTCTATGCATAATAGAGGAAAATTTGCTAAAATAAATTTGTAAACAATCTGAAAATGTTAGATTATAGCTTTTTTCGGGTTCTTGTTATTACCGATTCTGAACCGTCCAAGAACTCTGCAGCGCATGCGCAAATGAAATAATGTCTTCATATTTCCTTCTGCGCATACGCATCACAGTTCTAGGACGGTTATGTGTTTCTGGCATTTAAAGCAACGTTGCCAATGCTACACCTAAATTTAGCGTGTTTTTTCGCTCATTCTGGAATTACGAAAGGCGGTCGCCAGAAGAACGGCTCCTTTCCATAACTGCTATTTTACCAACGAGATCTGACTATTTATACCGACGAAGTTGCACGAAAGAGTTTTGATTGCATTGGTTAGGTACAACTTCCATGCAGAGGGTGTTAATCTTTTGTTGTTATATTATTAGATTAACTAAAAAAAGATTAACCCCCTCCGCAAAGAAGTTAAAACCAATGCAATCAAAACTCTTCCGCGTAATTTTGTGGATATAGATGTATATTTAATTATTGTCGATCTCATAATAGGTAATTTATTTAAAATCCGTAATCACCCGAAAAAATAGAAGATATGGCAACGTTGTAAATTTTCAAATTTCTAGATTGGGTCTAGAATATATTTGTCTCTCTTATTACATAGGAGAGAGAAAGAAGGATATATCAAATGTCAAACTTCCATCTGGTCTCAATTTTCTTTGCTATTTTGTTAAGAAAAGTGTTTTTTAGTAAAATGTTGGACACTTTTCTATCCCCAATCAAGTGTAGCTTTTAGATAAACTATAATATAATGAAAATATAGTGAAATTATTACTTTATAGGGCCGAAATAAAGAAAAATTCAATGTTGAAATAATTTTCCGTTTTTTTGAAAAACGGTAAGAGACCGCCAAAAAAAAAGTAGATTCGTAATCTACGACCTCAAAATAGTGTGTATACCAATTTTGGTGAAAATCGGACGATTTCCAGTTTTCCCAATAATTACCACATTTTTTATTATTTTACAGGTAACACCTAACAATTTCATAATAATGATTATTTTTTTTATAGATGGATGTAAGAAGATAGCTTTTATTTTTATTGTTTCAGTGATCCAGGGGGAGGGGCAAATGCCCCCTCTTGCCCCCCCCCCTTGTCCGGCGCCCATGCCTCTAGCTGTATACCAAATAATTACTACATGTAATTGAAATGACTGCTATACCGTTATCTTTTTTCGATTATACACTTCTAAAGTTTAACATCAGAAGCGTTTTTTTTTATTTTACCAACAAACAGTACAAATACAGTTGGCTGGGAAATGACGATCGATGACATTTTCCACATAATTTTACATGTAAAATGATAGCGATCTTCATTTTATAGCCATCGCTGACGCCTTTTTTTTCTCGATCATACGGTGTAAGTTTTAAGAAAAAAAAAATGTTTTCACATTTTTAACTGTATGGTTTTCACACTTTTTTTCATTTATCTAAAATAAATTCTCCGCCCATGAACATCATCGCCATCACCTTTTCTTATCTAGGGGTGGTAAACATCCGTTTAAATCCCAACCACTGTTGCCAGACAGTGTCCAATTTACCCACTGGATTTACTCATCTTGTTTTTTTATCACGCCCGACTGTATTCGGGAAACTTCGGCAGCATCTTCTGCAGATAAAAATAAGTAAAAAAGTTCGTATAAATGTATGTCCTAAAATGCTTAGTTTCGGAGATACAGGGTGTTTCATATTTATTTCGATTTTTTCCAAATAATTTCTGAAGTAACGCCAATAATTGAATGAAAATTGATGTCTGGAACATAGACAAACAGAAAAATTAAAAGACTGCCAGAAGACATACGACGCGCAGGCAAATGTTCCTGTAGCGCATCGACGCAAGTGCCGAAATACGTCCTTCTAGCTATCTGTGTTTCGACACTAGTCCGTTAGTCTTAGCATATTCAGAAAGAACACGCCAACCTCCAGCGTTGCCAATTTGTGGGGAAATCCCCAAAATTTGGGGAATCCGGAGCCGATGGGGAATTTTGTGGGGATTAGCAATAGGCGGCGAAAATAAGGGGAGTTTCAACATTTTATTGCTGATTGAAAATGACGTAAAATTTTTAGCTTTAAAAACGGAGCGGGACGATATATCTTTCCCAACTTAAAAATTATAATCTGCTTTTTACTTGTGCTTCCCTTTGCAAATGCTTCAGTTGAAAGAAAATTTAGTGACCTCCAATTATTTAATGACTATTAGGGAAGGGATTAAAAAACAAGGAGGTAATTTACAGTTTAATCCCTCTAACATATATAATAAATATTGTATTTTTATTAAAATTATTTTTTTTTGTTAAAATAATCATACGGGGAATTTTTGGTGAATCGGGACATTTTCCTCCCCAAATTGGCATATTTAATTTAGATTTTTGGGTAGTTTAGAAAATTGACATTGACAACGCCGCTAACCTCATTCTTTTGTTTGTTGTTTGTTCAAAAACCGGCACACGGCGTAGTACAAGGCTTGATCATTTTTTAAGAAATTTTTGATTGTTAATTTTATTTTTGTGCAAACTAAACAGTTGTTTTTTATTAAAAAATAGCAGACGAAGGTAAGAAAGGTAATGTCCATGCAGAAGTTTTTATTTCACAGGCTATTCTTTCTAGAAATTATACCATCCAGCCCTCCTATTTAATTATTAAATGAAAGTGTGAAAGAGATATCAAGGGCTATTCTGTTAAAATGTCATCCGACCAGTCTAGGCCCTGTTGTGAACCAGAAGGTGTGCTAAGTTGGATGTTGGATATAGAATGGAAGGAATATCATGGCCGAGAACAAGGCATAATTGTATGTCCCTTGATGTAGGGGGGTAGGTTTGTTTCTAATAGGCAGTAAAACCAAAAATTCTACTGTGAATCTTCATATTCTAGGCCTGTAAAGGTAAATAATTCCTGGAGCCATCTCGAGGTATAGTACTCAAGTCGGAGCGAATCAATTGATAGCACGATGAAAAGAAATAATAGCCAGCATAAAACTGTAAATATGTATATAACTAGTACTATGTAGCTATTTAACTGTAAGTACAATGTAGCTAGATATTTAGTAGAATAGGGGTATTATAAATTAATACAAAATACAATAATTGGTCATTCTTTCCATTCCCATTCAATTCTTCCCATTTAATCGTTTTCCCATAAAAAAAAGAAAATTAAAATTAAGAGTGCCCTTAACCAAAAATAGTGAAATAAATGGAGATAGTCAAATTTTATATTAGCGTGTAGACTTTGAATAAAAAAGGTGTAAAAGGATTATAAATGCTGTATTTATATCCTTTAATATCATGATAACATAAAATTTGAGTAGGTATCTCCATTTATTTCAGTGTTTTTGGTTAAGGGCACTCTTAGTTTTAATTGCCTTAAAAATAAGTTATAATAATAATTTAAATCTCCCGCTCTTTCATAGTTCGTTCCTGTAGCCAACTAGAGGGCGCCAAAAGCGCAATCTCCCAACATTTTACCACGCGATTCACCA